GGTTAGATAGTCAATTAGAAATTTTTCTTGCTTCTTGAGGTAGGCCTGTAGTGCTATGATCTTTCCTCTCAGAACTGCTTTCGCTGCATCCCATAGATTTTGTGTTGTTGTGTGTTCATTTTCATTGGTTTCTAGGAAGCTTTTTATTTCTTCCTTGATCTCCATGGTAACCCATTCATTGTTCACTAACATGCTATTTCGCCTCCATGTGTTCAAATGTCTTTGCATGTTCTTGTTGCAATTGATTTCTAGTTGCATGCCATTGTGATCTGAGAAGATGCTTGATATGATTTCAATCTTCTTGAACTTGTAGAGACTTTGTTTGTGCCCTAACTAGTGGTCTATCTTTGAGAATGTCCCATGTGCTCTTGAGAAGAAGGTGAATTCTGTAGTTTTGGGGTGTAATTCTCTGTAGGTATCTATTAAATCCATTTGATCTAGTGCTTCATTTAGAGACTGCATTTCCGTGTTAATTTTTTGTCTAGAAGATCTATCCAGTGATGTCAGCGGGGTATTGAAGTCTTCTGCTATGATTGTATTACTGTTGATTTCTCCTTTGAAGTCCTCCAAAAGATTTTTAATATATATTGGTGCTCCTATATTGGGTGCATATATGTTTACCAGGGTTATATCTTCCTGTTGGATAGATCTTTTCAATATTATGTAGTGTCTTTCTTTGTCTCTAGTTATGGCCTTCATTTTGAAATCTACTTTATCAGATATCAGTATTGCTACCCCAGCTTTTTTTTGCTTTCTGTTTGCTTGAAAGATTTTATTACATCCCTTCACTTTTAACCTATGTGAATCTTTTGTTGTGAGGTAGGTCTCTTGTAAACAACATAAATGTGAGTCATGCTTTCTTATCCAGCCAGCTACTCTGTGTCTTTTTATCAGAGCATTCAAACCATTTACATTTAAGGTGGTAATTGATATGTACTTATTTATTGTCATTTTTGTTTAGTGTGGTTCTATTTTTCTTCCTATTTCTTCTACTAATTACAGCAGTCCTTTTAGCATATCTTGCAGTGCTAGTGCTGGTTTGGTGTTAATAGATTTCCTTAGCCTTTTTTTTTTTTTTTTTTGGTCTGGGAAGCTGTTAATTTGACCTTCTATTTTGAATGATAGCTTTGCTGGGTAGAGTAGTCTTGGGTTCAGATCCTTGTTTTTCATGACCTTGATTACTTCATGTCATTCTTTTCTGGCCTGTAGTGTTTCTGTTGAGAAGTCAGCTGAGAGCCTTATGGGGTTTTCCTTGTAGGTAACCTGTTGCTTATCTCTTGCTGACTTTAGGATTCTCTCTTTGTCTTTAATTTTTGGCATTTTAATCACTATGTGTCATGGTGTGGGCCTCTTTGGGTTCTTCTTACTTGGGGCTCTCTGTGCTTCTTGAACTTGAATGCCTTCTTCCTTCACCAAGTTAGGAGAGTTTTGTGTCACTATTTCTTCACATATATTCTCTAACCTTTGCCCATTTTATTCCTCTTTGGGGACTCCTATGATGTGAATGTTATTATGTTTTCAGACATCCTAAGTTCTCTTAAGCTGTCTTCCTGTTTTTTAATTGTTTTTTCCTTTTGGTTTTCTGATTGGTTGATTTTTTCTACCCTGTCTTCTAATTCATTGATCCGGTCCTTAGCTTCCTCTACTCTGCTGGTCAGTCCTTCCAATGTGTTCTTAATTTCCACTATGTCATTCTTCATTTCCACTTGGTTGGTTTTCAATGTTTCTATATCTTTACTCATGGTGCTGATGTCCTTACTCATGCTGTTGAGCTTCCTCAAGATCATGGCCCTGAACTCTACCTCTGATAATTTGCTTAGCTGTATTTCCTTTATGTCATCTTCGACAGAGTTCTCTTGTTCTTTCATTTAGGATTTGTTTCTTTGTTTCACCATTTTGGCTATCTCAGTGTGTTCTGGAGCCTGCCAAATTTTCCCTGTGGGTGTTGGTGTTCTGCTGTTTGTGGCTCCCTCTACTGGATTTGGATGAGCCTGGGTGGGCCCACGTTAAACACCACTGTCAAGTCTTACTTTCCTGGGTAGGTTTGCAAGCCCAGGAACAGTTTAGTTATCCTCTAGCTTTTTCCTGGTGGCTAGTAGTCTCAGTTACTCAGTGCCTTGGAATGTAGCCCTGGTGTTCTGCATAAGAGGATTTCCAGAGGGTGGGATACTTGCTGGTTGTTAATGAGCCTCAATTTGCATTTCTTTGCCTCACCTGGGAAAGGCTGAATCTTGTGGGAGTGGGGGCCGGAAGTGTTGCTGCTTTTCCCCACAGCTCTGGGAAGGAGCACACTGGCCACGATCCTTTGTGGCCGCAACTCAGCAAAAACTCTGAGTGCCCTCCAAATACCGGGTGTCCCCACAGAGTTACAGCCCTGTCTGCCCTCCCTCTGCCATAGCCCCCAGGTGAGTGGCTGTGGCTATTTTAGCACTCTGTCCAGGCTCTCTGTGCTGTGGAGTGGGCTTAGTCCTTATTCCCCTAGGGCACTGCTCACAGCTAAGACTGCTGCTGTTGGTGGGCTCCCAGATCACCACCCTCTCACACCTCTGCAGATCCTACCAGTGTCCCTGGTTATATGGTCTTGTCCTACTGCTTTTATGTTGCTTTTTTCTGAGGATTTGTCCTTATTTTAGTTGTAATTCTCGTTTGGTCCTGGGAGATTGTCTGTGTAGCTTCTATTCACTCTGCCTCCATTTTCACATCCTCTACGCCTATCTTGTGTGCAGCTGGGTGTCACAGGCCTTTCTGGTGCCCCCACACCCTGTAGGTCCCGCGGGTAACTGGATCGCACAGTCCCTTTGGGGACCCGGCTCTATGCCTATCTTATGGGCTGCTGGGTCACACCAGCCTCTCTGGTGCTTCAGCTCCCTGCAGTTCCCATGGGCAGGCAGCTGGATCGCACCAGTCTCTCTTGGGCTCTGGCTTCCCATTGCTCTTGTGGGCTACTGGACCGCACAGGCCTCTGTGAAGTCCCAGGTCCATCCCCTGGCGGCTGGGGAGTGCTGCTGCCCTGTGGGGCTCAACTCCTACTCAGCTTTTGCTGTAGTTTTTGGGGATGGGTCTCAGCTGCTGGTCTGTGCTTCTGTTGCCTGGGGATGAATGTCTGCTCCCCAGCCTCTGTTGCTGGGGTATATCTCGACTCTGATCAGACTGCTACTATGGGGGATCATGCTGGGCTCCAGGCTGTCTGTGGCTTCCACGACCAGCACCTTGGGTGCTCCAATACTGTGCACCGGTCTGTGTTGAGAGAGTGTCCACTGGTCCAATTGTGCCAGGTGTGCTGGTGGGCTCAGGTTGCTGGGTCCTAGCCGCTACCACTGCCTCCTCCCAGGGAAGACCCAGGATCTTCCAAAATGGTGAGACCTCCCTGCGGCTCAGGGAGAAGCCCCTGAAGGGCTGCTTAGCGTGGTAGCCAGCTGCTCCCATCCACCAGGGTGAGTTTTTTAAATTTATTTTTATTTTATTAATCCTCACCTGAGAATATTTTTTATTGGTTTTTTTAGGTAGAGTGGGAGGGAGAAGAGAGAGAGAGAGAAACATCAATGTGAGAGAGACACATTGATCGGTTTCCTCTTGCATGACCCTGGTCAGGGCAAGGAATCAAACCTGCAAGCCAGGTATGTGCCCTTGATGAGGAATTGACCCTTTGGTCTGTGGGCTGACGTACTAACTGCTGAGCCAAACCTGTTAGGACTGAAAGGTGAGTTTTAAATTCAGGTTCATGAGTAAAGGCAGGCAACCTCTATTTAGTCATCTCTCCAAGCAAGGCCTTCTCAGGAGCTGAGTGAAGGAGCTGCTGAAGGAACCAGTCAGGAACAGCCAAGCCTATGGGAGGTCTCTCAAAGCAAAGAACAGGACTGTCTCTGTAAGTCCCCTGTAAAAATCCATCCCATTGCCTTGTCATACCTTATAACTGTCATACCTTATAACACTCCCTTACCTCTCCACACATTTCCCCTTTTGTCATTGTGAGGTTCTAGAACTTGATCTACATTAATCATTAAACATTTTTTTGAGCTCCTACACTGTACAGCACATTTTGCCAGGTTCTATTTAAGAAATGAAGCCTTGCCTTCCATGGGCTTCCAGTGCATTGGGGAAGGGATTGAAAGTACAGGCTGTATCCCATATATGGGGCATGCAGTGAGTGCCAAACGCAGTCATCTTGAAGAGCTAGGGAAGGTCTCCTGGAGGAGGTAAAAGGAGTACCTGGAAAAGAGGCCATAGGGAATGAAATCCTTCACACTGTTCTCAAAAGGGGGTAGGGGGGCCTTTATGGAATTAGGCCTGTCCAGTGGCCAGCTCTCTCCCCTTAGAGTAAAATTTCAGTGTTTCTGAGGGGAGAGAGGCTTGAAGGAAGAATTTAGGCAGAAATCCTGCTTCTATAATAAGCAGAGTCAGTTAAGAGAAAGAGGCTCACAGATTCCATTCCACAGCTGCTGCTGCTGCTGCTGCTGCTGCTTCAGAATTTTTATGAGTTTGAGTCAAACTGAAGACATATGCCAGGGAGCAAGATTTTAAATGCTTCCCATTTCACAGCTTCTTTACACTAATGCACCAACTCATTCATTCACTCTTACTTGTGCCAGGCACTTTGCTGCATGCTGGGGACACCGAGCCAACATGGACACTACATCAGTGTGGCCCCTGTTCCTCTACAGCCTCAGTATTCCCGATGCTAATAATACAGACCCTCAGGCCCCTCCTGAGCACCTGCCCCACACAGCACATCCCCATTCTTCTGCAGCTCAAGTTTGAGAACACTGGTACGGTGGCTATTGCCTCTGCAAGCTGCTTTTAAGGCAGCAGTGTTTCACTGGACATGAGGCAGACTGAAAAAGTGTGCTGCAGATAGAGGCTGCGGACCGGTTTCCTCTCTCAGTGTCCTCATCTCCCGCTAGGGCTCTCTTAAGGGGGCAGTGGGGCAGCCCCGCCCCACTCCCCCGCTAGCCCCGCCCAGGCTCTCAGGCACGAGGAAGCCCCGCCCCGAGCCGGGCTCGCACCGCCTTGCCCAAGCCCGGCCTCCAGCCTTTTACCCCAGACCCTTGGCCCCTCTGCCACCAGATTCTGCACGCGTCCTGCGGGCTGCAGCTTCAACCCCGGAGGAGAGGAAAGAGCGACATGGCGGCTGCCAAGAATGAGAACCTCTCCCTGGTGGTACACGGACCCGGGGACCTGCGCCTGGTAAAACGGGAAGGGGAGTGGGAGCCTAGCCCGACCCTGTCCCACTGGCCTTGGAGCCCAGCTGCAGGCCACCTCGCCAGTTCCAGCGCGGCACAGGCCCTGCACCTCCCGGGTCCTGGCCACCCAGATTCCAGTTGTTTACCATGTGGGGGGAGGGGGACGGTTGGCAGTTGGCATCTGACGCTAAGAGCAGGGTTCTTGTCTCGTGCCTTCCGGAACCTAGTCCAAGGCTGGCACGTGGCTGGAGGCTGGGAAGGTTGTGAGATGATTGACACCTCCTCCCACCTTTCCCAGCCGTAGTGCACCTCTGTCATTGCACTTTTCAGAAGAGATACCAAGGAGGCTGCTTGGCTTAGGACATGCCCATAAATCCTCGGGACAGACAGTGCAGGGCAGAAAGGGGCAACAGAGGGACATTTAAAAGCTGTAGAACTCGTATAATCTCTCTTGTTTGGGGCTGATAAAATCTTTGCAGGATTATTATGATCACGAGAGTACTCAGCACTTGCTAGGTACTCAGCTCCTTTCCTTCCAGCACAGGCCTCCATCACCAGGACGCCTGGTGTTTCTGGGCCTTTGCCAGACTTCTGGATCTTGAGAATCTCAATATCTATAAAGCTCCTTTCTTCTTTAGCTCCCTTAGTCCACATCTGGTTCACTTTCCAGCCTTTTTCCTTTCAGATCCTGCTCTCCTATCCCTTTAAGAGCATTGTATATATGTCTCCTCTGCCTGGATCCTGCTTCCCCTCCCTGGCTCCTGAGGCTGCAAAGTCAGCCTGGGGATCCTGCCAGGGCTCCCTTGACAAAGTCCATCTCAGATGGGCTTAGGACAGCTGTGGGTAAGGGAGTTGGGTGCCAGCCATCCCTATCCCTCCCTAACACGTCCTTCCCCCTCAAAGAGAACATACATCACCAGGATCTAGATTGAAGAGACTCGGGAGATTATCCAGATTAGCAATTCTTGACTTTAAGAATCTGTAGTCTCTTTCCCCACAGAAGGCAAGAATTTCAGAGAGTTGGTAAACTTCCTTTAAACCCATCTATAGATTCTCTAGAGGTCTGTGGAACCCAGACTAAGAACTCCTGCCTTGAGCCAACCCTCCATTTCCTCAGTTGAAGTTCTAACCCCAAGGTGACAGGCTTGGTTAGTTAACAGCCCGGACAAAAACTCAGAGGTTCGGACTTCCATTCCAGTTCTCTCTTCACTCACCTTAGAGCCTCCACCCAAGGTCCTGAATTAAAGTGACACTATTAGTCTTTATTGCTACCAACACCAGATGGAATTATGAGGAAGGAAAAGTGATACAGCTCTACACACAGTGATTTCAAACTCAGTCCTTTATTCCACACTTACTAGTTGAGATACTGCCTTGCATGTGCCAAGCACTGGGCTGGGCACCCAGAGAGGAGGAGGAAAACACAGTCCCTAACCACAGCTGCTCTAGGAATAGACAGATGAAGTAAACACCAAAACAGTGTGAGGGCTTTGATGGAGATCACAGACAGTAAAGGCCTCACAGGAAGGGGCCCTTGGCCCGGGGAGGAGCCCTAGACATGAATGCTGCTTGAACTGATTTTGAAGACATCACTGTAAAAAAGTCCAAACAACATATGCCAGGGAACAAGATCTAAAATATTCCCAAGAATAACACTTGTGCAGTTTTAATTTTTTTGTTATTCCTCACCCAAGTATGTTTCAGCTTTAAAGCAAAATCTAAACCAAGTAAACAACAGGAAATTAAATCCTGCAATTACTGCCATGGAAGGGCAGCGCCTTCTCTGCAAAACCTAATATTTTTCCTCAAAAAACAGGAAGAGCAAGTGCCACAAATAGAATTTTAACATTTTATGTAACAAGCCCTTGTACTACTAAGAGACATGGTAAAAGTTAACCCTATTCTGAGGTTGCAAACTAGAATAATGGATGTGGGGAAAGGTTCTCTTTTAAAATTGCATGACAGCCCTGGCTGGTTTGGCTCAGCGGTTAAGCGGTTAGAGCATTGGCCTGCGGTCCAGAGAGACCCAGGTTCGGTTCCCGCTAAGGGCACGTACCTCGGTTGCAGTTTGTTCCTGGCCCTGGTTGGGTCGTGCGGGTGGCAACCACTCGATGTGTCCCTTTCACGTTGATGTTTCTCTCTCTCTCTCTCCCTCCCACTTAATCTGAACAAAAAATGGAAAAATGTCCTCGGGTGAGGATAAAAAAAAAAGATAAAATTGCATGACAGAATTTAAGGAGGAGAAATATGTCCTCATATAACGAGAAAATATGTTCAGATTTTATGAAGTGATATTCAGCTCAATAGTTTTTTTTAATGTAAATATTCAGTTACATAGGCTTGAACACAGTGAGCACTTATTCAATGTTACGAACAGACTAGAGCAGCGAATGTCAATAGATGTGCCGCAAGAATTTTTAAAACATGCAGTACTTGACTATTTAGTATGGGGCACTGACCTCTTTTCCCTTAGATTGTCAAATAAAAAAATAAAGCCAACACAACAATACCCTTCTGGTGCGCATGAATCAAAATTATACCTATTATTGTCAGGCTGGCAAAAAAATATATTTTTTGGTGTGCCACAGAATTTTATTAATTAGGTTATGTGTGCTGGTAGATGAAAAAGATTGGAAACTGCTGGACTAGAGCATCCAACAAAGCTCAGAGACTTTTTATTTTTGCTTAAAGAATCCTTTATTCATGTCAGTAAGTCAAATAATAATAATAGTTATTATTACTGTCTTGAATTTTGTCATACTAGTCAGCTTTTTTAACATTTGTGATTCATTGTGGTTTTATTTCTCATTCTAAATAAACATTCATTTTTGTACCTAAAAAAAAAATCATCTAGTAAATTCATGTTATGGTTATGTTAATATGTTTGAATTAGGAGGAAATTTTTTTTTTTGTTTGTTTTTTATTCCTCACCTGAGGATATTTCTCCATTTATCATTAGATAGAATGGGAGGAAGGGAAGGGGGAGGGAGGGAGAGAGAAAGACAGAGACATGGACAGGGACAGGGACAGGGACAGGGAGAGGGAGGAACCGCAACTGAGGTACGTGCCCTTGTGCCCATGACCGGAATCAAACCCATGACTCATTGGTCCGAGGGCTGACGCTCTAACTGCTGAACCAAACCGGCCAGGGCTCTTTAAATTTATTTATCATAGCTGAGAATTAAACAATCCGTTCATTATGCATGGATTCTAGGTGCTGGAGAAGCTCAAAGGAGAGGAAGGGGTCACCTTCCCAGCCTAGTGAAGACAGAGAAGTCTTCTTGCAGGTTTTTGTTTCATCCCATGTTTATGATTCATGCTTATGAGTCTCTACCCCTGACCTGCCTATTGGACAGCCCCACCTGAATGTCCTGAAACACCACAATCCCAATGCATCCGAACCTAAATCTCCCCCAGTTCCCACAAAAATTAGGCAGTCATCCCAGATGATTCTTTTCCCCTCACTTCCCACTTCTGTGGGATCTTGAAGAAGGTGAGAGATCAGCCAGTGGTGAAATGGTTCCTAGGAGGAGAGCAAGTGAGCGCAACCGCGAGTTTGAGAATTCGGGAGGCTTGGAGCACTGAGAGCCTGGGCTGGAGACGTGCCGAGTGAACTTTGGGACAGTGTCCGACCCTTCTACTTTGACCCCTTTTGCCAGGACCAATGCCAAGAACAAAGCCTCTTATGACAAAATGGCTAACGGGAACCTTTGGGTTTTCCTCCCACCCTCAAAACACCCTTTTTAAAAATTAATTTGTTTTGTTACAGATGTTTCTCCTTTTCCCCCCATTGACACCCTCCTCCCCACTCCTGCTCCCCTTCAAAGTATATTTTTAAAAATCCTTATCCGAAGATACTTTTCCATAGATTTTTAGGAGTGAAAGGGAGGGAGAGAGTTGGGGGAGAGAAACACATCAATTGGTTGCCTCCCACACATGCCCCAACTGGGGCAGGAGATCAAACCTGCAACCCAGGTATGTGCCCTTGACCAGTAACTGAGCCCAAGACCGGAGACACTAACGACTGAACCACACTAGCCAGGGCTGAAAACAACCTTCAGGCACTCAAAGAAGGGAAAATTGAGGAGGAGGAAAGAAGCAAAAATAAAATCTCCTGCTTTGCTTTCTTTAAGTATGTAGGACAACCAGCCAACTGGTTGACCTGGCAGGCAGGAGAAGGTGGGCTTTGAGGAACTGGGGCATGGACGACCCACCATCTTCTCCAAGCCCTGCGTGCCTCACTCTAAGGCAGAGGTTATGGCTTTACACTGTTATCTACAGTTGATAGAATAAAGCCTAAAACATTGCTAGACATCTACTTCACTTTCTTCCATATTCCAGCCTTCAAGGAGCAGCCAAGTTCTCTTAATATTGACATGGAAATAAAGGAAATGCAACTTTTATCCAAAACCATAAAACTACCCTGTCAAGAGGCAAAGGACAAGGTTGGCCAGAGCTGATTCAACCATACTGTGAGCTAACTGTAGAAAAAGAACTTTAGTGTTCTTTCTTGTGCAATAAAAGCTAACTTATTTACTCTGAGTCGGGTACTCTCTTTTATTATTACCTTCATTAAACAGAGGAGGAAATTGAGGGCACAAAGAGATTATGCAATTACCCCAAGGTCGAATAGCTGGTGGAGAGGAGCCTAGGTTTGTACATGGACAGGAGATTCTAGGGTCTGAGTTCTTTTTGTTGTTGTTGTTGTTTCTCAAAAATTTTCTCTTTATTGATTTTAGAGAGAGAGAAAGGGAGAGAAAGAGAGAGACAGAAACATCAACTGGCTGCCTCCTGCATGCCCCCCACTGGGGATTTTGCCCACAACCTGGGCATGAGCCCTGACTGGGAATTGAACCGGCAACCTCTTGGTGTATGGGCCGATGCTCAACCACTGAGCCATACTGGCTGGGCAAGGCAATATAACATTTAAGATGCTAGAGGCACCTGAGATGATTCTATATTCCCACAGTATTTCCTGAAGTATTTCCATAATTTATTTAGAGTTGGGGGTGGGTGGGGTGTGATGGGAAGATTTCAAGTGGATAGAAGGGAGAATATGTAAACTGTTTATGACTTAAAAGTGAAAAATGCTAGAAAACTGACATAACCACAATAAAGAACAGTTACTCAACTCATCTTGTTACTACACTCACAGATAAGAAATCCTGTTTAGGAAACCTAGAATATGCCTGATTGGGCTGTGGGGATAAAAGTGAATGTCCCACATCTCTGAGGAGGTAAGGAACTTTGATAAACGAGAAATAGGATGAATGACAAAATATCACCACCAAAATCTGAGGAAGAAGAGGAGATTAAATAAACAGGATTGTAGCCACCGTGACCAACAAAAAGCAAGGTTTCTTTATTAACCATGTTGTGATAACTTTCTAAAACATTGTAAGCTCCACAGCTGGGCTTAAAATAATATTTATAAACTCAAGGGCTGGTCTTTAACATGGTCTTGTGCTCAGATGACATGTTTCCTGCAGAGAGGGGAGTCAGGAGCCAAGCTGACTTGTAAGGGTGATTAGAGTTAGCAAGAAAAAGGACATAGAAGGAAAGTTGGTATATGGAGAGAGGTATTGAAATTCTCCATCAAGTGTGTTCTGTTGCCAAGATGAAACCAGGCTATCCACACAGCACCCTCTAGTGTTTGGGAAAGTCACTGCAACCTTGCTTCTGTGGTAAGGTCAAAGCTAGTCCCTCCCTTCTGTTAACTCTGGCAAATATTTACAGTAGTAATTTCTAGTGACACCTAGGGTCTGCTTGCCTAATAGTTGCTATGAGCTGGAATCTTACCCCCTCTCCATCCAAAAATGGGGTGCTCAGGCCTGGCCTAGTTGGAGGCAAGCTATGAGGAGTATGTGGTTGAATTCACTAAGTGCCTGAGAAGTTGCCAACTAGTGCCGTTAGGGGGCAGGGTGGGGTGCTAGTCTATGTTTGAAATAAAGGTCTGTTTTAACCTACAGTTTAAAATTTCACTCAGTATAACAGAAACATAACTACACCACAATCTCTGATGTTGAATAATGTCAGATGTGGGACCAGCAACTCCTTTGAATATTTCAGTGATAGTCAGCTATCCTGAATTGCCCATTTCTAAATGGATTCCCTATCCCCTTCTCTTTCCCTCCCTCTCTCCCTCCTGCCCCCCCTTTCTTCCTTCCTGATGTAGCCAGTTTATTTATTTGTATTTATTTGTTAATCCTTACCCTAGGATATAGAGTGGAAGGGAGGGAGGAGAGAGAAAGAGAAACAGAAACATCCAGGTGAGAGAGACATCGATTTGTTGCCTCCTGCTCACTCCCCGAGCTCTGGTCGAGAATAAATCTGCAACCCTTTAACCATTGAACAACACGGTCCGGGCCAGATGTAGCTAGTTTAAATGATTAAGAGATGAAAAGCTGCTGTGAGCCCCTTGCCCACACAGAGTCCTTTGGATGAAGCTCCAGCATTTATTACCTTAGTATTACCATGGGCAGTTGCTAAGTCTCACCATTCTCAGTCTCATCACATGGGAAATGGGATAGTAATAGAAGGTACCCTTGTGAGGGTTAAACAAGGTGATGCATGTACAGCACTTAGCACAGGACCTGACAGGAGTTGGTCAGCATCAGCATGATCATTGTGGGCTTTGTGTCACTGGAGACAGGTTCAAATTAGCACTGAGCTACTTCAACAGAAAGGGCTGATAATCTGAGACGAGCAACAACCTTAGACCTTCCGTGGAAACACTATTATGGAAAATGGACATTTAACCAGTATAAGCCCACCAGATTTGGGGCAGAGCACTGTACCCGGTTCCAAAGAGATTGAAGGCATGGTCTTTGGCATAAAGGTTATTATCTTGTTAGTTAAATAGCCCCAGTGTTGTTTATTATGACCTATAAAAGCATCTTGGGGAGGCTCTCAGAAGGAGGCAAGCTTTGAGTATTGCATCCTCCCAGAGCACTCCATGTGGGGCCCAGCTCATCACCCAACAGATGGCTCCTTGCATCACCCCTGAAGGAGAAAAGCCCTATTCCACCTTGGGGGTGCAGTGGGATGCACTGAGGCAGGCTTGGGAATCCTGCCTGGGTTTAGCCCTGATTTGTCCACTCTCTGACAGTATGACCTTAGCTAAATGATTGAATTTCCCAGCCTCAGTTTTCTCATCTGCAAATTGTGGGCTATGGTGAGGACCATGTGCTGCGATGTGTGTAAAGCCCAGAACATTGTCTGGCACATAGTAGGTACTGTGAACATTTCATATCCCTTCTTCCTCTTCTAGGCTGCCTTCAAAGAATTAATAGAATAACCACTTGGATTTATTTGTCCACTCATTGTCCTTCCTCATCACCAGGAATTTCCTAGCCAGTTGGCATTGAGGGAGAATAATAATAATAATAATAATAATAATAATAATAATGCTTATTTCACCTCTTATTACAAATTGGTAGCTCAGTTGGTTGGAGCATCGTCCCAATATGCCAAGGTTGCGGGTTCAATCCCCAGTCAAGGCACATATAAGGATCAACCAATGACTGCATAAATAAATGAAACAAATCAATGTTTTTCTCTCTTTCCCTTCCTCTAAAATAAATAGCTGTGAATACTGGAATAATTCAGATTGCTTTTTGAACCTGAGAGTTCAAAATACAGGTCTCATGTATTCCCAGAAGACCTCTAAAATTCCACACGGGATGTTTTGAAAGAGAGGACCAAGTGTCAGTCTGTGCCCTGGTGCAGAGGGAAAAGAACAAACAGCCTAACCTTTTCCAACCTGTGGAGCTGCTCTCGTGCAGCTGCTAGAAACACCCTCACCCTTTCTCTCTCCGAGTTTGCCAGACCAAACAAATCTGTATCTAACACGGTGTGTTTTCAGGACAGAAAGATCTGATAGGAAAGGCAGATCTAGGGTAGCAGCCCAAACATCCTTTCTGCCCAGAGATGCACATAATATACTTTTTTCTGAGTCCCGGACAAAGTGCACCATTGAGTGGAGTGAGTACAGCACTGTTCAGTATAGCCCCTCCGTAATCCACCCAGCAACAGTACGGCCTGAGCCTGTGTTAAGTCTAAGAAGAAACATCTGAGTCAAACTCTAATTTTTAAAAATTGAAAATGTTCATTAGGTAAATGTATTATGCATGCTAAATGATTTTTCTATTTTGTTTCCTTTAGGAGAACTATCCTATTCCTGAACCAGGCCCAAATGGTAGGTCCTTGGGATACTCAACTTATATTTTCTTGTTTCCCCTGGAGATGTATGTGCATTGCTCCCGTACCCCTCTTCTGTTACAGTTTATACTTTTGCCTCCAGTTAAAACTATGCTTTTTTTAGACTTTCCACCTAGTTCATTGTCCATAGCATGATTGGATAGGCTCCACCTGGCTGCTACGTGCAATGAAAAAAACGGTGGTAGAATGAGAATAATTACCATATCAGACAGCTGTCTTGTCCCAAAAAGTTTGGCACAAAATGTTTTCAAGTTATGGGCCAAAAGCAAAATTGTTCTTCTTTTGACCTTAGGTCACTCTATCCACTATAAACCACTATTCAGGTGGCTGAATCCAAAATTTGAAAAGGCATGAGTCTATATAACTTAATGGTTTAGTTAGAAAAGGGAGTGTCATGACAGGAAGACCCAGACTTTCTGTCCAATGGGGATGGGAGAGGCTGCTTGGAACCTTGCCCCGCTGCCCTAATCAACCAGGTATAGAAAGTGGGTGTGCACCCTGGGGCAGCGTTCCACAAACTTTGTTCCACTCCTCCTGGCCTCTCACTGTTCCAGCCTGCGGCTGAGCTGACACGTATGTTTCCTGGGTGGTATCTGTATCTGGGAAGTCATACCACACTATTGACCAAGGCAGATTCCTGGACAGTTTTCCAATCCCACCCATCCCTGGAGTCCCACTTCATGATCTGCGAAGGGAGACCCTGAAGGGAGGCTGGCAGCAAGGGGCAGAGTGTCTGCAGATAGCTCATCTCACACCCAGCCAGTCAGGTCCCGTTTCTGTCCTTGATGAGTTGGGGTGTGCTGTCCCACCTTACCTCACAACTGTAACTTCTTTTTTTTTTTTAATCCCCCCGTCCCGAGGACATTTTTCCATTTTTGGTTCAGATAGAGTGGGAGGGAGAGAGAGAAAGAAACATTGACGTGAAAGGGACACATCGAGTGGCTGCCTCCCGCATGACCCAACCAGGGCCAGGGACAAACTGCAACCAAGGTACGTGCCCTTAAGGGGAACCAAACCTGGGTCTCTCTGGACCGCAGGCCGACGCTCTAACCGCTGAGCCAAACCGGCCAGGGCACAACTGTAACTTCTGTGTGAACATCAGATTGAAGGTTGCTTTCCTGGAGCCTCCAGAGCTTTGCTACTTAAAGGTCAGTTGGGTTATTGATTTATAGTGATACGAATATAGGCAAGAGCTATTTCTATCAGTATTTAGCAAGTATTGTATATTTAGGGCTTAAGTGTTTTCACCAAGATAACATTTCTTGAGAAGTAAAAGACAGCTCACTGTGTCCTAAAAAGTTGGTATTGATTCTAGAGGTGGCCAAACCAGGGCTGCCTTGGACACAAAGGATCCTGGTATTGCTTTTCTTCCCAGGGCAGCATTCTGCCCTCACTTTCTTCCCTCTTGCTGTCCTTGAATTGGAAGGGGAGACGATGGTACCTTTCAACTAGAGTTGTAGCAAGTTGAACTTCACCTCTTATTACAAATTGGTAACTTTAAGAGAGGAAATTCTGAGATAGTTTTCCTAACTCAAATGACTTTTCCCTACCTTGGATCTCAGAATTCACCCTCACATTTCTTCCTCTGTTCTACCAAAACTGAAGATGGAGAAAGTTCCTCAGAGCCACACCCAGTGGATCTCCCACGGTTTGCGGCAAGGACCGTGTAAGACACCTGAGTGCACAGCACAGCTTTGGGTGTCTTTGTTTTTCTCAGGGAGATACTTATAACATGGTCATCTCAGCCAGAGTAGGCCAGTAATCCTTTAGGACTTATTTTAGCCAAGGGGCTCAGTAGCATCATTATTTTAAACTTGGAAAACTGACAACAACAATACCACCAAATCTCACTATATTCAAACCTGTGAAGGTTGAAACGCCAGTTGAAATATTTGGGTGGCTTAAATTAACACTGCACTTTTTAACAAAACAATAAGCATGAAAACATAGTCTGATAGCTACCGAAGTATTGGCAAGCCTAGATCCTGCCAGCCTCCCTTTTATGAGTAAAAGAAAATCAGTCATAGAATAGTCATTAACATAGTAATTATCTAGTAATAATTATCTTCTAGAAATGTTTTATATCTTATATCATTGATTACATTTCTTCCTAGTGTTTACACAGTGCTTTAGTCATAGTTCTCCAGAAAATCTTATTTTCTCCTCGTTTTTTTTTTATCAGAGGTGCTGCTGAGGATGCATTCCGTTGGAATCTGTGGCTCAGATGTCCACTACTGGCAGCATGGTCGAATTGGGGATTTTGTTGTGAAAAAGCCAATGGTTCTAGGCCATGAAGCTTCAGGAACAGTCGTTAAAGTGGGATCACTGGTAAAGCACCTACAACCAGGTCAGTCAAGCCTTCAGCTAAAGGATCAACTTATTCATTCAACATCAGTATTTGTGTATGCTTTCTCAGGGCCGGGCTCTTTGTTAAACACTGGGATACAAAAGTGAACAAGACAGCCTTGGTCCTGAAGCACGTGGGTCTTACCTTCCACAGTGGGAGACAGAGCTGGGACATACAGATACTTAATTACTATCATGTTGAGGGCAGCAGAGAAGAATACAGGTGCAATGGGTGTGTTCTACTCATCCCTGGCTGATCCAAGGGACAATTAAGCCGGTCCCTGCAGATGAGTAAGAAATAAGCCAGATAAAGGGATGGGGAAAATATTCCAGGCCCAGAAACCACAATATGCCTCCACATACTAACAACCAGAACCTTTGATGCAGTCTTTTATTTTATTTGATGGCTTGGAAACCACCAATATGTTTCTAGACTTGCTTAATTCATTCTCCCAGAGGGTGGAATTCTCAGCTGTGGCAGACTATGATATATTCCCTAACACAATGAATTAAATCCAAGCTGTCTTGGCATAACTAGCCATTGGCTTTAACCTTCCTTTGCTGATGAGGCCACTGTACAACCTAGATATGATATCATATTATTTGGAGAAAAGAGGAGGTTGGTAGGAGGTACCGTCCTGTGTTAGTTAGAAGGCTATTTGAGCCAAGTTACATGGAGAGGGATTAACCAGCTCTGAAGTAGCTAGATGTGTGTCTCATTTAGAAATGTTAAGTGAGGCCCTCCATCATCAATAAAGTGGAGACAGCCCCTGAGGTTTCGCAGGGTTCTTCCAAAGTAAAAGCTTCATAGCTTCCAACAGCCACTGACTGGTTCTTACCTGTGAGACGAGGCCTCTAAGGAGGTGATATCAAGGAGTGGGGTGTCTCTAAATTTAAGTTATAACAGGTGCTTAGTCAACATGGACAATGGATCCAGCCTGTGCCAGGTGCTTTGAGGGATATAGAAAAGGGAGAAGATAAGATCCTTGGGTGCTTCGATCTAGTTTGGGGAGACCAGACATCAGGATATATATACCAACAATTAAACAAGACCATAGGGTGAAATCAGTAAAGAATGGGCTCTAGCCCTGGCCAGTTTGGCTCAGCGGTTAGAGCGTCAGCCTGCGGTCCAGAGAGACCTGGGTTCGTTTCCTGCTAAGGGCACATACCTCGGTTGCAGTTTGTCCCTGGCCCTGGTTGGGTTGTGCGGGAGGCAGCCACTCGATGTGTCCCTTTCACATCAATGTTTCTCTCTCTCTTCCTCTCTTTCCCTCCCACTCCATCTGAACAAAAAAAAAAAAAAAAAAAAAAAAGGAAAAATGTCCTCAGGTGAGGATAAAAATAAATACATACATACATACATACATACATAAAATAAGTCTATGCTGCTCAGAGCAGAGGTTCTGTCTTAGACAATTAGTGGAGATGATAACTTTGCATAATCTGTACAAAAGTCCCTCTTTAAAAACTACCAAACAACTCCACCAAACAATTCTGAGTTATTATAATATGATGATGATGATGTAATAATTAGAAGACAAAACTAAATAATATAAACTCCACCTAATTATGAAGGGTCTTCAATGCTAAGTTGAAGAATTCATTGTCAATGCTAGAAGCATAGTTTGGAGAAAGTTCATTGGGCAGCAGAGAAAGTAGAGGGGATAGAAGGAAGAGGCAGGTAGAGGAACATATTTTAGTGGTCGCAGGGTTTTCTGTGGGTACTTACTTTTAGAAGACAAAATTTTTATCTAAGTGTTTCATTTGCTAACTTTGACCTAAAGCTCTAATCAACTAATCTAGAAAGGAGAAAACCACTCATTGAGTAGTTCTTGATATATTTGTTTATAAAATTTAAACAAATATTGGAGAACTAGTATATTTAAGGCATGCAAGGATTCCTAATTTATATGCAATATAACCATCTATCTTATATAGTTTGAATTTCTTCTACAATGATACCAGCTCAGACAATTATATTAATGATAAATATAATAAAACTAGTTGGTGCTACTATATATTACTGCTACTATTATCACCAGTGCCACCAATATTTTAATGAGCACTAATTACGTACCAGGACTCTAAACTATTCTGTGGGTACATTTACCACAAAAGACAAAAAAAGTAGCCTAATGCATCTCTGCTTAGTAAAAGGCAGACCTCCCAGAGTTTTTCTGATGGCTAACAACACATTCTTCAGACTCAGGGGGGGCCCTAGCACCACTAGTACACTCCTTTTGTGGTGGGGTGGGGATTGACTAGAGAGGAACACAAAGGAATGGAATTCCCAAGATAGTGGTAATGTTCTGTATCTTGACAGGGGTTTACATCACACAGGTGAATGCATCTATGAAAATTCAAGTAATGATCCACTTAACATTTGTGCATTTCATCAATATCAAAATTTTACCTTAAAAAAAAACCATAGCCCTGTCCGGTTTGCTCAGCGGTTAGAGCATTGGCCTGTGGTCCAGAGAGACCCGGGTTCGGTTCCCGCTAGAGCGCGTACTTCAATTGCAGTTTGTCCTTGGCCCTGGTTGGTCATGCGGATGGCAGCCACTTGATGTGTGCCTTTCACGTTGAGGTTTCTCTCTCTCTCTCTCTCTCTTCCTCTCTCTCCCTCCTGCTCTATCTGAACAAAAAATGGAAAAGTGTCCTCAGGTGAGGATAAACAAAAACAAACAAACAAAAAAAAAGAACCATAAACAAATATTGAACTCTAGTTAATGCTATGCAGGCTGAAGTATTTAAGAGTAAAGTGTACTAATGTCTACAACCTAGTTTGAAATGCATCAGAAAAGAAAATGGACCGATGGATAGGGGAGAGATGGATAGGTGGGATGGATGGATGGATGGATGGATATGTGATAAAGTGAATGTTGCTAAATATTAATTGAAGAATCTAGGTGGAGGATATCTGGGTGTTTACTGCACAGTTTTTTCAACTTTGCTGTATGTTTTAAAATTTTCCTAATAAGAGAGAAGAGCAATTCTAACACTGGGTTTCCAAACAGACCCAGTAGAAGTACAATAGAGTTGGCTGTTCACAAGTCTCTCTGCTGTACCAGAGTTGAGGCCTCTGTGGGCCATTTACCTTAATGGTTTTCTGCTAAGCAGGAATCAGTTGACTCCTCATTATTGTTTAAACACAACCAGACTGTATGGCTTTTGTGAAGGCCTTGCCCCATGTTTTCAAAACAGGTAAAAAAAAAAAATGTCTGCAAACTCCACACACTAGCTACCTCTTTTGCAGCAGTTTAAGCCAGCTTGTCTTAGAGATGGGACTGGTTCTGTGTTTCCTGAGCTGGGAGGTGACTGTGGAGCTAGAGGGTAAGTTGGTCTAGTCCATAAACTGGTAAAAGGGCAGGCCAAACCAGTCTTTGGAGAAGTGGGCTGGTCATTCTCTCTCAGAGTGTGAATCTGGAATTCAGCCTGTGTTTCTTTTGGAAGCACTAATGGGCTGGGCTTGCTTAAGATACCCTGGGTCTTCAGGAAGGAGGGTGGCTCATTTGGCTAGAACCCTCGCTGGTATCTGCCTATAAACCTGCATCTCTGTGTCTACTCCTGTTTTCCTTCCAGGTGATCGTGTTGCCATTGAGCCTGGTGCTCCCCGAGAAACTGATGAATTCTGCAAGATTGGCCGATACAACCTGTCACCATCTATCTTCTTCTGTGCCACACCCCCTGATGATGGGAACCTCTGCCGGTTCTATAAGCACAATGCCAACTTCTGCTATAAGTTAGTGCCCAGCCTCGCCTTGCCACGTGGGACCTCTCCCTCTCTGTTTGTTTGGTGTTCTTTCTTCTACTTTTCTGTGATGACTTTTTTTCTTTTTAGCTCTTAATTCCAGACATGAGGGATCCCCACAGTGGGCCTGCCCTTAGTGAGTGGAGGGAAGGCAGCCCAACTGGACTTAAGACTGACGCACAGTGCTTGGCTTTAGTCTTTCAGCTTAACGTCCCCTCACTAAGAGCAGCAATAAAAAGTTGTTGCTAAGGTCACTCACTCTTTTCCAGCCATCCTAGTGATAACTTGCAGCTCATCTTCCATTATTGGTCTCCACTGCAGCTAAAGGAAAGATAACTATAAACAGCAGTGACCTTGCCAGGTCTTACTAAGGAGGCGTGTCAAGGAGCCTGCATGTGACGTGGGACTCTGGATCCACTTCCTCCTAGCCACTGACTTTGGGGAAATGACTTGACCTTCCTCTGCTTCAGTCTTCTTTAGTGACCAAACAATTAAATAAGGCAATGCGTGTAAAGTCACAATTACTATTACTACGTGCCTGGCCTTGTGCTACTAAGTGCTTTGTATGCCTTACCTTACCTCTACCAGAATAATAATAAGGTGGACACCAGTAGTGTGGTTTAGTGCAAGGGTTAGCAGAGGCCCTGGGGTCGTGCCGTGAGCACAGAGCAGAGCCAGGAGTCAAGCTGTGATTCTCGAACTCCTGCCCTGTGCTCCCTGCGGAACCCCAACATTCAAAATTATTTGGGGGTGGAAAGTTTTGTCTGAGGAAGCAAAGTGCTGCCCCTCCTATGTGGCCCCAGCCTGTGGAGCTCTGGGTGCTGATGCGCCACTTTCCTTCTGATCCCTCCCACCCCAGCCTGGCCCCAGCGGTAGCTCTGTTAGCCAGGATGGGGCTTGTCTGATGGAGGCCAGGTGCCAGTCATGGGGGCAGTCTGGCAGATCTGAGTTTTCTAGTGCCCACTGGAAGCCTTGAGAGGAGTCACAGGCTGGAGACCTCACGATGAGTTTAACTAAGTCAACATCCGAGCCTGCTCTAGAAGAGAGTAGGTTGTGTGGGCAGATTCCACTTTTCAGCCAGTGGCTCCTGAACCAGCCCAGCTTTCCTGGGCCCTTTCCAGCTCAAAGTGCCAAACAAGGTTTTTCTGGAAGGCAGAAGAGCAAAGCGGTAAAGCTTGAGACTAACCACGGTGTGACCTTGAACAAGTTACTGAAACTTTGTAACCTCAGTATTGTTGCCTTACAGTGGAGATGGTAATAGAACCCATATAATGAAATGCATAGAATTATTGATTGGATTCAGTGAGAAAAGCCTATCAAGTGCTCAGTATGAGTCCTGGTACATAGAAGGTGCTTGGTAAATGCTGCCATCATATGTCATAGCCATGGCCTTGAGCTTGGGGGATGGTACAAGGTTAGCCCTGAAAGGGAGCCTTGGGCTAAGGAGGGTGGAGGGGTGGCTTGTTGGGAATGTTGGCTGACAGTGGTGATGGGAGGACTGAGGGGGGCCCTCTAGGAGGACATGCAACCCTCACCTCTTCTCTCCTCCTGGGGTACTTTCTATCTGTGTCCCCAGCCCGACCCTGAACCCAAGCCCTCCTCTCTGGTTTCCCTTTGTGAGGATTTCTTCACTACCAGTTTCTTTTCTGTCCTACCCTCCTTATTTTCAGTTTACCTTCCTGCTTCCTCTTGGCTTCTTGATCACCCTTTTGCCTGTTCCCTGAAGCCTATTATGAAAACCACCAGGTTGCCTTGTTGTTCTCTGATGTTTATAAAGGCATAAAAGATTAGGGCTGGGTAGACACTTAGCCCTCTCAACCCCCTTCTCCCTCAACCCCCAGTGAACAAGGTTGGGGAAGGATGACCCAGTAACTCTCCCAAGGTCAGTGGCAAAGGGGCTGGGCCCTAGGACTCTGCACGGTGCTTCTGTCTCTGTGCTGGGCCCTAGGACTCTGCACAGTGCCTACGTGAAAAGGCATGTGTGATCTGCCTAGTCAGTAGAATAATCTCCCAGGTGACAATCCTCTCTTGGCGCCATCCCCAATCTCTTATCTCCCTGGTGTTCTCATTCCAAGGGGAAGTCAAAGTGAAGGGAGAGGAGCACATAGCTCCTGACCAAAGGCCCCCTCAGCTCAGAGCCAATACAAGCTTTAGGGGAGGCCCAGATGGGAAGGGGCAGAGGTATCTGAGGATGTGGTTGGGGGTCTGCATTATTCCATTTCAAACTTTTTTTTATATTGAGTTGATGGGGTGGGTAGAAGGGGTGATGACAGTAATCAGGGCAGGCAGGGGATTGGGGTAGGGAAGAAGATGTGAGAGAAGCAGAGGGGAGGGGAGAAGGAAAGAGTGGTAGGTGGCAGCCAGGCTATAGGCCTTGTTATTTATTCTTTGGGAATGTGAACATGACAGAAGGATCATGGGGATGAGCACATGGTCTGGCTGCCACCTTTATTTCTTTTTTGAACTTCATGGTTTTCTTTAAGATTTTTTTCCCCTCATTTGAAGATACTTTTCCATTTACCTTTAGACAGATTAGGAGGGATGGAGAGAAGGAGAGAGAGAGAAACATCGATGTGAGAGAAACACATTGACTGGTTGCCTCCCACAAGACCCCAACCGGGGCTGGGGAAGAAGTGCAACCGAGGTACGTGCCCTTGGCAGGAATTGAACCCAGGTCTCATTGGTCCACGGGCCAAAGCTCTAACTGCTGAGCCAAACTACCAGGGCTTTTAAGTTTCTTTAGTTTTTTTTTAAACATATATTTTTTTAAAATATGTTTTTATTATTTAGGGAGAGGAAATGAGAGGTAAAGAGAGAAAAACATTGATGTGATAGTGAAACAGTGATTGGCTGACTGCTGCACACTCCCTACTGGGGATTGAGCCCAAAACCCCAGGCATGTACCCTGACCGGGAATCAAACCGGTAACCTTTCCATACACGGGGTGCCACCCAACCTACTGAGCCACACTGGCCAGGGCTGGAATTGAAGGTATTTGGTGCACTGAATAAATAAATACTGGACAGTTAACAACTAACAGAAATTAAATATTAACTACAGAACTACTTGAACCAAGGGGTAGCTGAAATGGGACAGACAGAGGATGTGGAGTCAGGAGACCTGAATTCAAACTTTGCTTTTTCACTCACTAGCATTTTAACCTTGGGCAAGTCTCTTAATGTCATTGAGCTTCAGTTTTCTCTTCTGTGGAATAAAGGTAAAAATAAAACCTGCCCTTCCCATATGACAAGGTCATGGTGAGGATTAAATGAAATAATGGATGAGAAAGCTCTCTAATCTGTAAATCCTTAGGCAAATGTATGCTGTCATCATCAGTAGGGTTATTTAAAAGGATCAAGATACCAGTGGAAATAAAAACCAAGAAGCCAATGGTGAAAGGTGACACAGCATTTAGTCAGCTATATGGAGGACAGGCCCTTTTCCCACCATAACTGGTCCTGGGACAGCCAGGCAGCTGCTGCCCTCCGAGGTGCTTCTTCTGCAACGTGGAATGGGGAGACGATGAACAGAGTGACTCCAGCTTCTAAATCACTGTTTTGCAAAGCTGGAGGTAGCCGGGATCGCCTGCTAAAGTGAAACCAGAAAGGCTGTCGGTTGGAGAAAAACATGAGATGCTGGAATGTGGCTTATGTCTACATCTGGTTTCAAATTAAAATCTTTTGAGTCCTTCACCAGTTTTGAACCTTTAGAGTGAGTTATTTAATCCTCCAAGCCTCAGTTTCCTTGTCTGTAAAAGAGGAATAATACTATCTACCACAGAACTGTTCTGAAGATTTACACGTGTGAATTTATATAAATTGCTTAGCACAATGCCCGGCACATAAATCAATGCTCGATAAATATTAGCTTTTGTTATCATTGTCAACCTAGAGGTACTAACTGAGTGTGTTGAATGACTGACTCCCCAGGCTTCCTGACAATGTCACCTTTGAGGAAGGGGCCCTGATTGAGCCACTGTCTGTGGGGATCCATGCCTGCCGGCGAGCTGGGATCACCCTGGGGAACAAGGTCTTTGTGTGTGGAGCTGGTAAGAAACAGGATACCCTGGTTATGAGTTCATTTAAAGAGGAATGTGGGGACACCTCTGCACATCTTCATTCAAAGACTGAAATCTGTCCTAGGATCTTTCTGGGTAGGAGAGGATTACAGTGTCCCATTCCCTCAGTGACCAGCATTTTGGTAAATAAACTAATATCTGCAGAAATGATGTCATTTCCTAGACAACATGACCCTTTTATTCATTTAAAGAATGCAACTTGGGACTACATTTCAACCCTTGACAGGAAACTAGAGAAATAGTTTTGATAGCAAAGGGAAAAGCAACTTTTGGAACTTCCTAATCGTACCAGAGAAGTGACCTTCTGGTCCATCCAGATAAGAGGTGGCCTGCTCACTGCCTGTAAAAGGAGTAGAGTCCAGCCCACCATGAGCCAGCTCTCTGCCTGCACTGGGAAGCTGCCTTCTCTCCACCACCCGAACAAACACTAGCAGCCTCAGACTGAATCATTCTAGGCTTTTAACTACTGGTGACTCAGACTGCATGCTCACACTCCTTATGGGTGTGATCTACTGTTCCTCATACACTTTTTGGGGGAGGGGGAGGTTATAATTGACATATAACATGAGTTTCAGGTGTAAAAGTGATTATTCGTTCCTCAGGTGACCGTGAACAATGCTGGGGTTAGCGATACACACCTTCTGCATAGTTGAAAGTCCACATATAACTTGACTCCCCAAAAACTTTACTAATTGTCTACTATTGACTAGAAGCCTTACCAATAACATAAACAGTTGATTAACACATATTTTGTATGTTATATGTATTACATACTGTATTCTTACAATAAAGTAAGCTAGAGAAAAGATGTTATTAAGAAAATACATTTACATTACTGTACACGTTTATTGAAAAAAAATCCACATATAAGTGAACCTGTGTTGTGCAAGGGTCAAGTGTATTGCAAAATGGCCACCGTAATAAGTCTAGTTAACATCTATCACTATACATAGTTGCAAAGTTTTCTTTTCTTGAGATGAGAACTTTTAGGATTTACTCTCAGCAACTTTCAAATATGCAATACAGTATTATTAACTATAGTTACAATGCTGTATATTACATTACTTTGACTTACTTTATAACTGGAAGTTTGTACCTTTTGACTCCCTCTCCTTTACCCATTTCACTCACTCCCTACCCCCTTCCTCTGGCAAACAATCTGTTCTCTGTATCAATGAGCTTGGGGTTTTTTTTGTTTGTTTTAGATTCCACATAAAAGTGAAATCATATGGTATTTGTCTTTCTCTGTCTGACTTACTTAGCATAATGCTCTCAAAGGTCATTTACGTTGTCACAAATAGTAAGATTTCCTTCTTTTTTTAATCCTCATCTAAGGATATTTTTCTATTTATCATCAGATAAAGTGGGAGGGAGCGGGGGAGAGAGAGAAACATTGATGTGAGAGAGACACATCAACTGGTTGCCTCTCGCATGACCCCAACCAGGGCTGGTGATGAACCACAACCAAGGTGCGTGCCCTTGATGGGAATCATACCTGTGACTCATTGGTCTGCAGGCTGATGCTCTAACTGTTGAGTCAAACTGGCCAGGGCAAGATTTCCTTTTTTATGGCTGAGTAATATTCCATTGAAACAACTTAAGTATCCATCAGTGGGTGAACGGATAAAGAAGATGTGGCATATATACACAAAGTTAGCCCAGCCAGAGTGGCTCAGTTGGTTGAGCATTGACCTGTGCACCAAAAGGTTGGTGGTTCAGTTCCTGGTCAGGGCACATACCTGGGTTTTGGGTTTGATCACTGGTTGGGGCATGTACAGAAGGCAACCAATCGATGTTCCTCTCTCCCTTCCTCTTTCTCTAAGCATGTCCTCAGGTGAGGTTTAAAAAAAATAATGAAAAGATAAGTCATACACACCACATGTGCACACACAGAAACTCACCCAATCCCTTTGTTGGGCATTTCAGGTATTTTCCAGTGTTTTGCTTTCTGTGAGAACTCACAAAATTATTTTCAAGGGGAGTGTCCAAAAAGAATCCCCAAAGATTTTCTGCATAGCCTTATTTTGTGGGTCTGGTTTTTATGTGAAAACCCTCATGTCATCTAGCAGGTAGATAGTGCGAGGAAGCAGGTGGTCTTCCAGCTGAACCACCTGGGGCTGCCTGAACAGCTGCCTCAACCCAGGGAGCCAGCTCACTTCAGGACACTCCAGGGTGGCCCTGAGAGGGCCCCTAAAAACATTATGTCTCTCTTTGGGGAGGTGTGGTGGGTTCTAAGAAGATAGGGGTCAAAGAGAAAACAGGAAAGTGTATCCAGACCTTCTGAGATAACTTCTCTGCAAAAATGTTTCCTTGAGCCCTCAGGTTCTTTGACATTATCCCCAAGTAGTGCCCAAGAGTAAGTGGAAAATGTACAGCTCTGTTTTAGGAGAGAGTCAAACAGAACCCAGCACTACGAGCAAATTTCATGCAGAAACAATTCCTCATGCATTCACTTACTCATTCATTCAACAAACATGGCCAGAATCTCACTATGTGTAAGACACTGAGATAGATGCTGACGGCACATGAAGGATACAGTTCTTGTTTGTGGCCTGCAAAGGGGGAAGAACTGCTGTTTCATATTTCATAAATGTCTCCCATTTCCTGCTTTATTTAGGGCCAATTGGACTGGTCAATTTGCTCGTGGCCAAGGCAATGGGCGCAGCTCAAGTGGTGGTGACTGGTAAGGTTTTCTTCTTTTTAACTATCCTTCAGAGAGGAAAGAGCTGGGCCTATAGTGTGAGGCAGAGGCATGAGACCTATTCCCTTCATGGGGTACTGGATTTCTGAAGGGGTTCCTCCTCTTTTCTCCAAGTTCCAAGGTTGAAAAGCCTACCCAGGGAATGACCAAGTCAGGGCCCAGGAGGAGACTTTTTGAAGCTGCTGGGAGAAGAGGACCTGGCTCTTTATGCATGGACCTGAGATGCCCATACTGCCTACTTAGCCCTAAGATGAGGCTCAACCCTGAGTTTATTTGTTTAAGCCCAGGAGACAGGATGTGTTTGTATGTATGTGTGTGATGTGGAGTTGGTGTGAAGTATAGTATATTTATAAGAGGATGTTAGTGTGTGAGGTATGTGGTGTGAGTGAGAGACATGAGTGGATATATGTGAGGTGAGATTACCCAACAGCATGTGTGGGTGTGCTTGTGAAGGAAGTGTGGTATGTATGGAAACACGTGTGCGTATGTGGAGAAGGCATCTGTGAGAAAATATTTGTGTGTGTGTAAGCTATCTGAGACTGTGCATCTGTGCAAGAAGAGGTTTTATGTGAGAGTGTGTGGGTGAGTGTGTAGTTGTGTGGTGTGCAGGTGTGTGTGTGGAGAAATGATGGGGTAGTTGGAATGTGGAAGTGTGTGAGAAGCTATCAGAATGTGTATAGAAGGTATCTGTGAAAGCATGGAAGTGTTTGAAGAGTGTGTGTGTGCAGATGCGTGATGTGTGTGGGAGTGTGTGAAGGTATAGAGATATATGTGTTGGGCTCAGTGACACCACCCACTACAGCAGGGCTTCAGTGCCATCAGAACCTGTACCTCCATTTTTTTTTTTTTAATATGTTTTTATTGATCTTAGAGAGAGAGGAAGGGAGAGGGAGAAACATTGATCAGCTGCCTCCTGCACACTCCCTACTGGGGATCAAGCCCAGTGCATGAGATAGCACCCAACCAACTAAGCCACACAGGCCAGGGGTGTACCTCCATTTTTATTTTCTCCCTAATTCACCATCTAGTGTCTCAGTTTGAAGGAAACCTTTTTTCAATTTTAGATCTGTCTGCCTCTCGGTTGTCCAAAGCCAAGGAAGTTGGGGCTGACTTTGTCCTCCAGATCTCCAAGGAGAGCCCTCAGGAAATCGCCAGTAAAGTGGAAGGTTTCCTGGGGTGCAAGCCAGAAGTCACCATCGAGTGCACTGGCGCGGAGACCGCCATCCAGGCGGGCATCTACGTGAGTGGGGTTTGGGCAGCTCTGGGGAATTGAGGCAGGGTAGTGAACTGAACAGAATTCAGGAGTCTAGGATCAAGCTTCTCCACTGACTTGCTCTGTGACCTCCCAGCAAAATTATAGGATATCTTTATAGTTCTGTTTTCTTCTCTCTCCTGTGTAGGTAGTGGCACTTGTCTAACATTCTCATTGGGTCACTGTGAGGTTTAAACGCTGTAGCAAATATTCACAATCCTTCAAAGATAAGTGACCCTCATGTTTAAGATGGGGTTGCTGTCCATATTTGTGATCATAGAAGTTTTGCTCTTGATAAAAGATCAGTAGGAGGAACAGGGAAGCATGTCTCCATTAAGTGTGGGAAATCCCTATTGTGTTTTATTGAGGAAAACAGTAGTCTTGGAGTCATTTATACAAAGTGACAGCTATTAGTTCAGTCAGTCACAAAGATAAGGTGAATTTTCAGGGTCATGGTTGGGTACTACTGTCCTCTCCCAGAATTAGGAACAGATAAGCTGTCAGTATCTGACAAGTCCCTCATGGACCCACCTGTAATTTATGAGAAGTTGGCTGGGAGGCAGGGAGAGGAAGTGGCATTGACAGGTCAAAGAATGGGGAAAAAGGGGAGAGAGAATATGTTCCAGATTCCGAAGCTACCGCGTGCCAGGTCTTCTGCTGGGTGCTTTGTAAACCTGATGCACGACCTGCACCAAAGCCATGAAATTAGTCATCATTCTCCACATCTTACAATGCGAGGCCTGGTGAGTGGCCTTGAGCACAGTGATCCAATGCCTGTGCGTTCCCTACTCTGGCCACTGCTTAGGAGAGAGAGGGGAAGAAGGGACAAGAAACCAGTGCACAGTCATGCCAGGGTGGGAGGGGCGGGGCGGCGACAGCTGCCACCACTGGGACTCTGCCTTGCCTCCCAGACTGCTTCCCCTCAGCAGTTCGGGCTTCCTCCTTCCTTCTGAGTCACAGCTGGGTCACACACAAGGGCACTTGGCACCATGCAAGACATTTTGGTGAAAGCTGATCCCTTGAGCTGTGTGGCATGGCCCTCACGCCTGGCATCTGGCAGAGCTGCCCAGCTCTCCTCCTACCAAGATGGCCATGGCATCAGGGGCACATTAAGTGGTGGGAGGAGGAAAGAGCCAGTAGCACTGTTGCCCCGAGGCCAAGAGAAACCAAAACTCAGAGGTGATGGGTGTGATCAGTCAGTCCTTGACATGTCTTGGGCACCTTGAGATCTATGATAATGAGTAATGTTTACTGTCTTCAAGTTGTTGGCAGGTCAGTGACCCCACCCCCCATCCCATCCACAAAGAGGCAGTAAAAGACGCGGCTTCTCTCCGGACCGCCGGCGGACGCTCCAACCGCTGAGCCAAACCGGCCAGGGCAAAGACGTGGCTTCTCAATTCTAGGCTTTCCTTCCTCTTTTCTCCTGCTGGAGAGCATCTGGGAACAGCTGGCATCTCCAGTTGTTAATGGTGGGGGCCCAGTTGCCAGGCTACCTGAGGTGAGCATGGAAGTAAATGTGACCCAAGGGCCTTTCCAGACCTGAGGCTTGTGCCTCTCCTGAGTGAGGAGTGGAGCCATTATGCATGACAGGTGCTGTCGAATGCTCCAGGCCACCCCATCAGCTGGCAGGTTAGGTGGAGGCACTATACATGGACATACCTGAGTCATTTTCCTGCCAGATCATGACTAGATAATATTCATGGGAAGAAGTGGAAAATGCTTAGGGTAGAATTGATGTCATCTTGGTGCCTAGGTCACACCACGGACCAGTGATCACGTAGTCCAAGCATTCCTTTGTCTGTAATCAGCAAACTGCTAGCCTCCTGACCGCTTGGGATGGTCACTGTGAACGTATTCCTCCTCCTCACCAGGCAATAAGGAAATGCTGATAGGAAAACAGTTTTCTTAGGAAACGTCTCAGTTTTCTGTGGCTCACTCACAGCTCTGACCTCTTCCCCCTATTTCTCCAGTTGAGACAGCACATCTTGCAGTTGTGAAAACCCTCCTCCTAATGACAGAGTTCATACATCACAGGTGGTTTATAAGTGATTCTGCACTTTGATAACGTGACAGTGAGTCCATCCTCGCACCGAGCACTAAGATTGTAGGCCCAGCAGCCCTGCTGGGAGGAATCATCTTATTCTTGCACAGGAAGAAACTGGCTGAGAGGGCACCATCCAGGTCTCCACAGCCCAGAAGCACAAATGCCAGAGTCACCCCCATGATGCAAGCCTCTCCATGCATGTCCTTCCCCCAGAGAGAGGGGCTGGAATGAGCTGTTTGTCTGTCACTCATAACATCAAGCACAGTGATGCCCCAAATTCTCTGGAGCAGGCACAACACTCAGGAGCTCTCTCTGTTTTCTTAGCTCTCTTGTGGAGATAGTGGCACTTGCCTAACATTCTCATTGGGTCATTGTGAGGTTTAAACCAGGTAACAAATACATAGTCCTTGAAAGATAAGTCCCCTACCTATTCAGAATGGGGTTGCTGTCACGATCATGTCTGTGATCACAAAAGCTGTGCTCTTGATAGAGGATCAGTAGGAGAAATGGGGAAGCATGTCTTTGTTAAGTGTGGGAAATCAGTATCTTTTTATTGAAGAAAATGGGGATTATGCGAAGACTGTCAAGATGAACTTCACTCTCTGGCCAACTCCAAGAGGGAACTGATAAGGGAGATAGATGTTTAAGGAAGACAAAATCCGTTATGACCAATACTGCTGGAATAAATGTCTCTGGAACAAAGATATTTTTAAATGCCAGCTTGCATGTATAAGGCAGTTTTTAAACCACAAAATTCCGGTAGCCCTCCCCATTTGCATGATGCTTAGTAGTTTTCTCACCAAGAGGGTGGTTCCTTAGCGGTTTGATAAAATTCCTGTCTTGCCCTAGCTGGTTTGGCTCAGTGGTTAGAGTGTCAGCCCATGCACCAAAGGGTCTCGGGTTCAATACCCAGTCAAGGGCACACACCTGGGTTGCAGGTTTGATCCCGGGCCCTGGTCAGGGTGTGCGTGAGAGGCAATCAATCGATGTGTCTCTCTCACCTCTCTCTCTCTCTCTCTCTCTCTCTCTCTCTCTCTCTCCTTCCCTCCCTCTATTTCTTTCTCCTCCCTCCCTTCCACTCCCTCTAAAAATCAATGGGGAAAATATTCTCAGGTGAGAATTAACAAATAAAAGTCCTGTCTTGTGGTGTGGGCACTCTGGAGGAGGAACAGGTGCTGAGATGAAGTGACTGAAGCCAACACCTGGTATGGATTAGTAAAGCTTCAAAAGATGCTCAGAGGTTGCTGAAGATCAATGTTGTTTGTAGGGGAGGTTCTCACTGAGGTCTGGAGAACCTTAGTTATTTTGTGGGATGTTGTGGACAGTGAAAGATGCTCCCACTTTGCCTGGTCCTCCAGTGATGAAGTATATTATTTCAGGATCTTTAAAGAAGAGAAGGTTTACTTGGCTACTCTGTTGAGTATGGTCATATTGAAGAGTTCAGCAGATAGAAAGACTCATTCTCTGGAATTTTTGGATGCAGTCAGCAGATATTTGTGTGACAGCGGTGTTGTTGTGAGCAGGAAGTCTGCATTTCTTATCTTCCAGGTTTTCTTGTTCTTACTTCCTCTTCAGGCCACTTGTTCTGGTGGGACTCTGGTGCTTGTGGGACTGGGTTCCGAGATGACCAGTGTGCCCCTAGTGCATGCAGCCACCCGGGAAGTGGATATCAAGGGCGTCTTTCGATACTGCAACACGTGAGTATGTTGTGGGCAGTGGGGTGTCCAATGGCCAGCAAGACCAGGGCAGGCCTCTGGGACCAAGAGTCTCTATTTATTCATGAGGAGCTCTCCCTGGCACATGGACAGCCATGCCATATGATAGGGGTCCAAAGAGAGGATTCACTCCTGGTTAAAGAACAGGGCAGAGATGGCAGAGGGAGGGAGGGTGGGGGATGTTGAAGCATTGCTCTTGGCTGTCTGCCACTCCTATCCCAGGCCCTATCTTTTTCATTTACTTAAGTGGCCAGATGGCCATTTTCTCCCTTCAAAGGGAAGGAGGAGAGAAAGGACAGAGTCAAGTCCCTTGGCTCCCACTCCAGAGGCCCAGGGCCCACCCTGGGAAGTGAGAGAGTCTTATTTCACCACAGCCCACATTCTGTGGCTCCACCCTCTCCCTTGCTGGGGAACCCTGTCCAGGACCATGTTCCCCACCAGTGTCCCTTATTCCCATCTTTGGAGTCTAACAATTTCCACAGCAGAGTGCCAGCTTTCCAGTAAACCCTCTCAAGTTGAGATGCTACAGGGTTGATCGATTATCCCGGCCTACCTCCCTAAACCTTAGCTGCCTTTTCACAGTGGCCTCCATATATCTCGTGCCTTCCTGCCGAAATAATTCTCTGCTTCATGGCAGACATTGCAGAGGGGTCAGGGGGTATTTGGGAACAGGCTCTGTACTCCCAAATTATAAGTCATAAGATCATTCCCACCAGTGTTGGTCTGTAGAATTGACCTGGCAGAACCACAGTGCTAAATATGGCCAAGCTGATACTGTGCTTGGTACTTTTGGGGGCCTGGCTCTTTCCTCATGAAGGCTGAACGTAACGCTTGTGATCTTTTACAGATGGCCGATGGCGATTTCAATGCTTGCGTCCAAGTCTGTGAATGTCAAGTCCTTAGTGACCCATAGGTTTCCTCTGGAGAAAGCTCTGGAGGCCTTTGAAGCATCCAAAAAGGGATTGGGTTTGAAAGTCATGATCAAGTGCGACCCCAACAACCAGAACCCCTGATGTTAATTGGGCTCTGTCCTCATTCCCACCCTCTCAGCATCTCAGGACTAAATGGCTAGACAAGGGTGAGCTTTAAGGCAAAAGTTTCTTTTAAGTAGTAAGGGTAATTAAAATAATTCAATATAAGCAGAGAGCCTTACATAGAGGAATTCGTGTGCCTTAAAAACACAAGTAGGGATAGTTTGGGGGAACTTATAGTCAGAATGACCTGTTTCTGCTGAGCAAAGTTCAGCAAGTGGACCAGAGTTTGGCAGGCAGATTCTGGGAATTCTTCTTCCTGGAATTGCCTAAGTTGATTGAGGAAGGAAGTCTGTCTGCTGAGTTCCTGGTTCCACTGTGATTGTGACCAGGTGGGGGATGGGGTTATGAAGAGACAACTTTATCAAGACTTATCTGACCCAGAAGCTGATGTTCATGAGAACCTGCAGCTCAGGGTCTGGAATGAGGGGCTGTCAGCAGTTTTGGTTTAGAGCACAGTGTTTCTAGACATAGGTGCTATTTGGTTTGATGACAAAAGGAGAATAAGGGACTGAGCTTCCTGAGTCTAGAGTAATTATTAAATCAATCAAACAAATAAAGCCAAAATCCCACATGTGGTCAAACCAGCTTGCATTCCCCAGATGTAGAACTAGTCAGGGAACTTCTCTACACTGCTTGAAAACTCCCTCATTTTCAACCCCCGAGAACTGTGTTTGCGAGGTGAATAACCACTTTCCTAACACCCCCCCCCTCACACACACACACACACACACACACACACACACACACACACACTCTTCCTTCCACTGTTCAGGGGCAGCCACTGCAGGCTTCTTTGTCACTAGGCAACCAGGAGACACCTACCTAAGGCTCACACATGATCATTACATAATTCCATGTGGCTCTGGTAACTATAAATAGAAAACCTCTCCCTTCTCATAGCCAGTTAAGACTCTTGGTGTCTCTGTCTGAATAATAGCTCTAAAACTGTGACCTTATTTTAATTTTACTGTGTAAGAGTTGGGCCCAACCACATTATGTCCATTTGTGACTTTTCTTATGTCATCTCTGGAGGAGGGTAGGATTTTGACTTCTGTCTACACACAACACATGCACATACTCAGTAGCCACATCACCCACTGTGCCTACTTCTCAGTTCTATTTAGCTCCAGGCCCAGACTTGCCAGCTGCCATTTCTTAAAACTTTCTTCTTCACCCAGCTGGTGTGGCTCAGTGGTTGAGCGTCAAACCATGCACCAAGAGGTCACCAGTTCGATTCCCGGTCAGGGCACATGCCCAGGTTGTGGGCCTGATTCCCAGTGGAGCACATGCAGGAGGTGGCCATTCGATGTTCTCTCTTATCAATGTTTCTATCTCTCTCTCCCTTCCTCTCTAAAATCAATAAAGAAAAAACATAGACTTGTGTCGCTTATTACACAATGGTGATTGGGCTGGGTCTTCTATATCAGTCTTGTCCCAGTCTGTTAAATGGGCTACATGATTCCTGCCATGTGGGAAATTTTGAAGGGTGAATGGGCTGATTGAAAACAGCAGTTCAGGGAATACTTCCCATTCCAAATCCCCTGAGGAGCTCTCCCGCTACTGTGACGTTTCACAGCTTCCCAAGCAGGGGCAGAGGGTGGCAGGAGAGGAGATGGTGTGGGTGGGCCACCAAGTCAGTCCTCCGGGTGGTGAGAGGGCCCGAGTCAGTATTCCCGAGCTGTTGCTGGGCACCTTGGACTCCACATCCTCTGGAATGGGCTGCAGGAAGCCCAAGAACTCATTCCTCACCCCATCACTAAGTGCTCAATACGTATTGTTGGACTCAGTGAATCAGTCCCGGAACCAAGAACGTAAATTCCCCACGAGATCCCCAAGCTTGGGTGGCCCCGCCAGCCTCTGTGTGCTCTACCACAGGTGCCTGACACCTGGTTAGCTTTCGTCAACACTGAGGACCCCACCCAGCCGGCACTCCCAGCCTGGGGTAGGGTGTACGGGTGGAGAGCTGGGAGAAGGGCCCTTCAGGCAAACTAGGGGGTAGAAGAGTGAGGCTGCCCCACGGACACCAAAGGAGAAAGGGACTCGGCTCTGGCAGCTCCTACTTGCCATCCACTTTTGCTACAGCAGAGGCTGACATGAAGTTTCCGCTCTCCTAATCCTTGGTTCTCTGGCCACGCCGGTCCTACTTCTGTGTAGCACAGCACTGCCCCTTCCTGTTTTGCTCCCTGTAGGGGAACAAAGAGGGCCAATGGGGAAGTTGGTTGGCCCAGAGGTTAGGAGTGGAGAGGCAGATAGGATTATTGGATATATGTCTTTTCCCAGAACTGTCCTTTGCACATGATCTCAACCTAGGCTTGGAGTACAGAAGCCAAACAACAGGACCCACATCCCTTGGTGGCAGGCAGGTCTCCACTGTCCCTGTCCCTCCTGACACACCCAGGTCCTCCAGGGCTCAGGGAAGAACAGGATGGAAAAGGAGGCAGCGATGCAGTGGCTTGGCTAGGAGTTCATCACCAGAGGGAAATGCCTTCAAGACAGCAGCAGCTGTTCTCTGGTGCAGCCACTGCCACACTGGGACTACACAGCGATGCTGCCACGGCCTCTGCCTCTCCCCCCAGCTGCCCTCTCCCCTTAAAGCCCTGGCTGAGCCAGTCGTTGAGGTTCTTCTCTGGTTACCTGACAGCAGCATGGGGTGTATAGATGGTGTTTCTGCCAAGAGATCTCTCACTGGATCTTACCCTCCATGGGAGCTTCTTGGGGTTGCTGGGGTGGGATGAAGCCTCTATCCTTTGGTCTTGGACCCATGAGACCTATGAAGGGCAGATGTAAAGGATCTGATGCCAGGATTTCTTGGTTCTATCTAATCCCGGGCCCAACACCAACTCACTGTGTGATTTGCCAAGTCACTTCAATCTGAGCCTTGGTTTTCTCCCTTCTTAAATGGCAGGGTAGGGCTAGATCAGTGATTTTCAACCAGTGTGCCACAAAAAATTTTAAGATATGCAATACCTGTCTATTTAATCAGAGGCACTGACCTCTTTTCCCTTAGATTGTTCATTTTTATTTATTTACTTTCAAGAGATTATTATTTTTTCTTTATTGAATTTGAGAGAGAGAGGAAGGGAAGAGGGAGCAATAGAAACATCAATGAGAGAGAACACTGCCGCCTCCTGCATGCTCCCCACTGGGGATCGGGCCCACAACCTGGGCATGTGCCCTGACCGGGAATCGAACCAGTGACCTCTTGGTCCATGGGTTGATGCTCAACCACTGAGCCACACTGGCTGGGCAGATTGTCAATTTTTAAAAATGACAATAGCCAACACAACAATAGCCATGAATAAATTAAAATTATACCTGTTTTTTATCCTCACCTGAGGACATTCCTTCATTTTTTGTTCAGATAGAGTGGGAGGGAGAGAGAGGGAGAGAGAGAGAGAAACATCGACATAAAAGGGACACATCGAGTGGCTGCTACCCGCACGACCCAACCAGGGTTGGGGACAAACTGCAACCGATATACATGCCCTTAGCAGGAACCAAACCCAGGTCTCTCTGGACTGCAGGCCGACGCTTTAACCACTGAGCCAAACCAACCAGGGCTATACCTGTTTTTTTTAATCAGGCCAGCAAAAAATATATTTTTGGTGTTCTGCAGAACTTTAATAATTAGTTTATGTGTGCCATGAGATGAAAAGTGTTGAAAATCACTGGGTTAGATGATCTTAAGGTCTTCCAGCACTGATATTTTACAGGGTTTCCATCACTCAGAGGCCCTGGGGACTGAAGACCTCTTTGGAAATGTCCCTCAGGACTGAGGTATAAGGGGCCTTCTTGGGTTTCAGTTCCAATCCAATGTCTGTGTGAAGGGATGGCCTGAGGTGGGGAGGGCAGCCTAAGGAAGTACCTTTGTCCTGGGCATCACCTTGTTCTGCTCATTAGCCTCAGTCTCCCAGGTGTGGTCCCAAGGGGCTCTGCACAGCCCGGAGCTGGGCCTGGACAGTCTGGCCTTATCACTAACTTCCCTGCTGGTGGTCACTGATTGGCCTCTCTGTGTTCCACATAGGATTAGAGGCAGAGGCACAGCCCAGCCGGGTGGAAGTGGGGCAGCAGTTCATTTCTAGTGAGGAGGGAGCTGTGGTAGAAAGTGGGCCTGTTCTGGGTTCAACACCACTGAGGCGTGGTGCAGGTGCAGCTCCCTCGGGACCAGCACCAGGCTTCAGGTGGGTGGTGCTCAAGCCCTGTGGGTCCTGCTGTGAACTCACAGGCTCTGTGTGCACTGAACCACCAGCTACCAGCTTCTCCCACGAGCCTGCCTCAGCTCCTCCTCCCTGGCAGGAATCCCTAGAGGCTCCTCTGGTCAGGTGTTTACAGTGCTCTGGTCACCAGGAGATAATAGTGACTGTACTTTTCTTTATCACACGTTTGTACATTGTTCAGAAATCAAAGGCAGATAAGTAAAAAGAAGATAAAATCAGCCATAACCTGTCTCCACAGATGCAAATAAGTTGGAGTACTTCCTTCTAGCTTTCCCCATGCATCTCTATACATATACAATTATAATCAGAAATAGGAATTACTTTACCTACTCATTGTCCACTTTCACTCAGAACAGATACTTTTTTTTATCTTTAGATAGAGCGTGAGGGAGCGAGAGAGGAAGAGAGAGAGAGAAAAAAACATCGATGTGAGAGAGACACAATGACTGGTTGCCACCCACAAGACCCCAACCAGGGCCAGGGACAAACTACAACCGAGGTACGTGCCCTTAGTGGGAACCGAACCCGGGCCTCTCTGGTCCGCAGGCCGGTGCTCTAACTGCTGAGCCAAACCAGCCAGGGCAAGACTTTTATTTAAACAATCATACTTCCCATTAACAAAATAAATAATTTCTTCAAATCATCTCATACCACATCATTCCAAGACCAATTTTCTCTAATAATCTAAAAAAAAAAAGTGACTTTTTATACTTGGTTTTCTTAAATCAGGATCCAAACACATTGCACATAGTTATGTCTCTTAAACTGTTTATTAAATGTTTTATTTATTTTTAGAGAGAGAGGGAAACGTCAATTTGTTGTTCCACTTATTCATGCATTCATTGGTTAATTCTTGTATATGCCCTGACCAGGGACTGAACCTGCAACTGTGACATATTGGGAGGACACTCTAACGTATTGAGCTACCCGGCAGGGTTCTTAAGTTGTTTTTAATCTATTATATTTTCCCCTTCATTTTTTATTAAATACCATTATTATGTTGAAGAAACAGAGTCATCTGTCCTCCACATACTGTTTTACATTTGTTTTCATTTAACAAAGTCTTAAATTTCTATGCCAATAATTACAGAGTGGAGCAAAATTAGATTTACAGTTGTTCATATGAGAAATAATACAATAATTAATTAATAATGATACAAGAATTAACTGTTTTATGTACTCACAACTGTAAGTCTACTTTTGCCTCCTGTATATATACTATCATTTTAAACCACTATACCCCTTAATGTGGATGTACTATCATTTATAAAGCAAATCACAATATTTTGATTATTTGGATAGTGTATAGGTCTTGGTCTTATGATAGAGTTGTGATGACTATTCTTGTGCATACATTTCTGTGCTGCTGACTTATTTTCTGACGTTATGTTTTAGAATGAAAACAGTTGGGTTGAAGGGCATACACATTTTAGAAGTGACCTGGTTAGACAAGTAAACAAAATATTGATATTGAGACTATCTAAGAAAATCTGAGATGGGGAGGTGCCCCACGACACGTACAATGCGGGAGGACTCTGGAGTCCAGGGCACCTTTCTGGGGTACCATGAAGCCACTGGCTCTCTGGCTCTGGGCCAACCTTGGGAAAGCTGGAGGCTTGGGCCTCACCATCTATAAACTTGGGCAGGTCAGCACTTCTTCAGGCCTCATTTTCCTTATTAGTAAAGTTAGTGATCCCTTCTAGCTCTGGGACTACTGCCAGGACATAACAACAAAGAGCTCCTGTTAAGAGTGGCATAGGGTTCATGGGGAACTGTGGTTGGGGTACTGTGGAGCAGTGAACCCCATCAATGAACTTGTACTGGAAGACTCTCCCCATTCTGCCAAACCTCAATGCCAGGGGACTCTGGGTACCAGTCACCAAAGTTTAATAAGTCACTAAGAGGAAGTGAAGTTGCTATGTGTAGAAAGTTCCTTTTTGGCTCTGGCTTTTCAAGGAGATGCAAATCCATGTGGCATAGAATGAATTAGAGGAGTTATTCAGATGAAAATTTTGGATTCTCTGGATCTCAGAAGATTTGTAGGACTC